AGCCTCTTGCCGCGACATTGTAATTTTACTCAGCTGAATTGTGCATGCTCCAAGGAGACTTTCAGAAGAATCGGTTGGAGTTCGGACATTCCACAAATGACTAAACTGCTTTGAATGATCAGAGTCACAATTTCGCCTTGCAAGTTTTCCAACTGTAAAACTCCCTCGTTTCCCATGAGGGCGTTAAATCTACCAGTGAGTTGTTGAGCTTTTTTGTCATGCTGCTTTATTATTAATGTCGTTATTCGCTTTGGCACGTGGCATTGTGGAATCGGCAGATGAACGAATGAATGCCATGACTGTTAACTGTCAACTGTCAATACAAAATTATCACAAAACATACACTAAAATTTACTTACGGTAAAGATGTTGGGTTACAGTCAAGGCATGCAAACATAATCAGAGTGTTTAATCAGATTCTGGATGCATTTAAATATATCTGTGCACTGAGATGCTTTCGAATCCCACCGGCAGCTGCATCGCTCGTTACGTTCACGTTAGGCCCTCATAAAGAGACAATGCATGTACTATTGAAGGGTCGGATTTGGCACCTTCTTTGAATTCTTCGAGTGTCAGAAGTTCGTCCTTGTTCTAAAAGTTTACACTAGTTAACATTATGATAAACGATAAAAGAAAAGTTCCCTGTTAAATGATCGAAAGCTGATTTGCATGCAGATGGCTAGGTAATTACAAATTGGCGGGGGTTTAGAAATGTTGGAGATGGTGATTAACCATTACGTTATTCAAAGCTCTCACTTTACTCTAATCAACTATCATGCCAAAACGTCATGTAAGCTGTGTCATGGGACATTGTGGGGTGAATAGGTTTTAGCTGGTTCTTTTGTCTTCACAAAGCACATAAGATTCAAGCAGATCCTGCTTCCTTACTTTTGCCGACACTCATTTGCCTTTAAAGTACAAGGTGACGCATTGGCTCTCAGGTAAAAGTCATTTCTGTGTCTGTTTCCGATGTCATCGACGGGTAACTGGATTCTCAGCTGCTCAGCTGGGAGTAAATGCAACTATTGCGTCCATGATTTTCGGCGAAAGCTTAATCTTTGCAACAAAGCAATAGTTAAGCAATAATAGATAAGTTATATAATTTTTAAAAAACGATTCTCCTTAGTTAGTCTTCAGGTTATCTGTTGCCACTGTAAAGCGCAGCTGCTCGGAATCGCGAACCGTTTCCACAGTTATGATTTTATGTTTAATTTCCGCTGTTCTGTGACTACCTGTAGGGAATCAGTTGCTGTTTTGTCGACAAAAACAGTTTGCACAATTTCTGTCCCCCCACACTGCAGACAGTCCTTAATACTCGGCGTGCAACTCGCTTCGGTTGCCGCCGCTGAGCAGATGAACAAAACCCTTATTGGATGAATCTACCTATTATATTGGAGTCTACGCCTGGAGTTTAAGCGGCTTTTATAATTATCTTGGTGCATTGCTTGTGACAGCTAAACGCTACATGAAAAGCCAAACGTCGAATATGCGAAATAATTCATGATTAGTGAAAAGAGGACTAAATGCTAGAAGCAAAATGAAAATCAGAGGGCACGAGTCTGTTCGCACGTCACCTTGTCCATCGTCTGGAATATTTTATCGACTCGTTTCTGGGGCGTGTTCTCTTCGTCGTCTAAACGCATGGAGCGCGATACCATCTTGTAAATAGCGCCGACTATTTTTAGCATTTCCTCGCGAGTGATGTAACCGTCGTTGTCCACGTCGTAGAGTTTGAACGCCCCTGAAAAACAGTGTTGATGATGCACATACAAAACGGACAGCGAAACGGAATGGACAATTAACGATTAATATCGACAATTCAACAGTACGAATGCCGAGTCACGAGACTCGAGCACCCTCGCGGAGAGAAGCGAACCGTTGAAAAGTACATTGCAGTTTTTCGTCCAAATTGCCTCGCGATGTTATCGACAGCGCCTTGATGAACTCGTGAAATTCGATCGCTCCGTCCTAAAAATCGACCACCCCGGTAGCTTGGTCCATCTTTCGATTCGACTCAACTGCGCTAGCAGCACTAACTCACTTTGTTTTCATCGAAGACGTTGAACACGAACGAGGCGAATTCGGACGGGTCGCCGTCGGGAAAGAACTGCTGATAAATCTTCTTGAAACCCTAAAAAGCAAACCTGCTTGCTTCAAGTTCGGACATACCTTCATGGAGAACCGCAGCAGTGCGCGAAAACGTGGTGTAAAATTGTTCCACGATATAACAGAAAAAATTAAATCGTTCTATGCGAGACAGACAGTTGTGGAACGCTCGCTACAAGCGGTAGAGGCGAGGTTCAATTTGAGGATGAGTTCTATGAGTTACGCGACGTGGCACACCGAAATGGACACAACGTGCGAGTCACTCCTCTTCTTTGATGCTTTGTCCACGTGATCTGGATGCGGTAAAGAGGCCTACGAAGCTAAATCTCGTCGCAACGATGCGTGACA